TGAGTTCTGGTATTTTGGAGGCTTTTAAGGTTATAGAATCATAGAATCATAGAATGGTTAGGGCCGGAAGGGACCTTCAAAGGTCATCTAGTCCAACCCCCCTGCAAGGAACAGGGATATCTCCAACTAGATCAGGTTGCTCAGGGCCTCATCCAACCGGGCCTTGAACGTCTCCAGGGATGGAGCATCCACCACCTCTCTGGGCAACCTGTTCCAGTGTTCTACAACTCTCATGGTAAAAAATTCTTTATGGGCCAAGCAGAGTTGCTAGAGATTTCTGGAGAGATTTCTTCAGTGGGTTAAGCTCTCCTGCATCCCAAGGGCTGCTGAGTACAGCTCTGGATTATGCCAGTGGAGTATCTACAGCACTGGGTCTGGTCTAGGAGTCCCAAGCTATACAGGAGCTGACACTAGACCTCCTGAAGTATGGAAGCCTTAAGCACCATAGAATCATCTGGTTGGAAGAGACCCTCAAGGTCATCGAATCCAACCATTCACCCTGCGCTGTCGGGGTCCCTAAACCATGTTCCTCAACACCAAACCCACACGGTTTTTAAACACCTCCAGGGATGGGGACTCCACCGCCTCCCTGGGCAGCCTGTTCCAATACTTCACAACCCTCTCTGGAAAGAAATTTTTCCTGATATCTAACCTAAATTTCCCCTGGTGAAACTTGAGGCCATTCCTTCTTGTCCTGTCATAGTTGGAGGTTTTCCTGAATTACCTCCTCCAGCGACCTGAGTGTTTGGGTTAGTTGCTTATTAGATAGCCATGGCCAAATGCATGCTGATGGTCATCACAGGCTGGATGGGGAGGAACTGGTTCTACTGCTCTGGAGAAGAACTCTGGTCTTTGTCTTGCTATGGGTCAAACAAGAGACAGTTTCAGGGTTTTTTTATTCAGGTGCAATAAAGCTTCATCTCTTCCCAAGAAGCCGCGTGGTGAGCAATGGAAGCATCTGTTTGGGAAGGCGGCAGTCCTTCTTTAAAGTCTCTGCTAAAATGGTTTCCTCTGTGTCGCAGGTACGTACTTCACCTGCTGTTTGCCCACTCTTTCTTCTCCAACCTGGCCAGTCTGCAGTTTTTTTGATGAAAGCCATTTCAGCAAAAATAACAATACTGCCAGTCTGGAAGGCGGTGGGAAGAGAGGTGGTGCTGAGCCCTTATGGACTTACGTAGTGGCACCATGCGCTAGTGGCCTCTCCAGCAGTGTGGGGTGGGAAGGCTGCCCAAGAGAGTGTTCTGAAAGCGTTGGTAGCACTGTCACCCAGCATGGGGAGCTCTGGCAACTGGGTCATTGGAGAAGCCATCTCCTTGGAGGGGAGATGCTGGGGCTCTGTCCTGGTTCGAGACTGAATCAGGGTGAGGTTGGGACCTGGCAATGATGCAAGTAAAGGACAGATGTACTGGAAATTACTGGGTAGGGTGGTGGTGGGGAAGATGCAGACACCTTGTATCTAGATGGAGCAGTGGTAATTTGTGTTTATACCAGAATTTTGTGGATTCTCAAAGCAAAAAACGTTTCGGTCCTTGCAGGGAATTTAAAATAACTGCTGGCTAAATACATTCCTCACAGCAGATCGATGTAGTGCAGTATTTTAGAAGATATACTGTGAAAGCAGTCCTGGGCAGAAGCCCATGGGGCAGCTGGAGAGTCTGCTGTGCCTTAGCAGCCCCTCAGAGCTGTCTGAGCTGTGCTGGGAGACCCGCTGGTCTCCAGAGCAGCCCAGGCACAAGGGGAGCTAAAAGTCTCTTGTGGCTTTTTTCTTCCTGGCATGAGAATTTTGGGTCACTGTGCAGTGCCTGTCAAAAGGTGTATCCTGTCCTCTCCTATTTATTTTGCTCTATGCAGAATTCTACTAAAATAAGGGAGGAATCGAGTCTTTTCTAACTGGGAATTTAGTATTCAGCTCTGCCGGCTGACTCACCGGTAGGAAAATTCCCACCGACTCGAGTTAGAGTTGAATGGGCTGTATTATCTTTTCATATGCAGAAAATTATTTTGAAATTGAAGTTAATAACAGCAATTTAAATATTGTCGTTGATAGAAAGATAATACAATATTTAGTTGTATCACGTTCTTTTTATGATCTGGTGTTTGAATAAAAGCACTTTTTCTGCTTTTTTCCTTAATTAGCGTGTCACGAAGAAGTTTGTGGCATCAAACGCTCTAATTACATTCATGAGTAGCATCTTCAGGACAAGTTTTAATTAAGTTGTACAATGTAGATCAATACTTGTTTTGCATCCATTGCAACTTAAGACAGGATTATACTGTTCTGCATGGTTTAATTACAGTGAGTGTGATAGAAGGAATTTGGGTAGACCTGCCATTTTGGCAACTACGCTCCCTTCTCTTGCTTTTTAAACCAGTATACAGTCATGATATGGGACGTGTTATTTATTTTGAAGTACATTTTAAGATCACTCTTTTTATCCCATTAAAAACAAAATGCAGTGTGGTTCAGGAGCGCTTGGGTACTGGTGCTTGACTTTAGCTGGAGCAGGAGACCTTAATGAGCATTTCACCAGAAGGCTTCAGGAGGGAGAAGGCTGGCCATCACTGGGTGACATATCTAATGGCAGCTGATAGCAATACTATTATTTTGCCTAGGCTGTGGGGTGGAAAGCCACCTAATTGTATGTTTACTTACTGTGGATGTAGTTCAGGGTAGTCTCTGAGTACTGCTTCCACCAAATGTCCTGTCGTTAGGTAGCATTGCCAGCTCCCAACTGTTTTCTGTTTTGGCAGGAGAAAGCAATCTGGGCACGAAAACCCTGAGCCACCAAATGTTTTTGCTCAACATCACAAAAATAGAGTTGACCAGGCAGAACATCTATACGCCTTATGAGAGTGTGCTGCATTAATACTTACATACATTGTGAAAATATCTGTGTAGGCACGTTTTTTTTTTTTAAGATAAATGTTTGATACCAGAGCTGAGAACTGATTTTTTTTTTCTACTTCAGCTTCGTATTTTTGTGTTTTGGGCTGATTTTATGTACAAGGGACTGCAGTTGTCAGCCTTCAGTACAGTACAATAGTTAAGACCACACTGACTCAGAGAACTTTATTTTTTTTAAGCTAAATATGTTGTTTAAGCTTATTTTTTTTAACACTCCTTAAGATTTTAAAGGAGCATGCCTTGTAGTACAGTGTAGTTCTGGATTTCCTACTGTGCCTCTGTAAATAGTGTAATCCTGATGTCTGTGGTCCTCAGTTGGCAGCATTTTTAATTTTTCTGCGGTTGCCCCGCAGCGCAGTGACCCAGGCCAGTGTAAGGAAGGGTCTGTATTCCTCATGGGTGTTTGCACTGGTATAACTGGCTGTGCAGAGACAGCAAATCAGCCTGGTATGAGTACTAGGATGAGTGTTATGGTACTCACATCCTTTAGACTTGTACGTGCAACCTGTTGGTTTCTCTTCTCTAGCAATACATGGTTGGTGCTGCAGGAGTGAGCGCACCTATTTCAAGCTTGTTCTTGGGCTAGATCATCATGGGCTGGAAGGTCTTGACAGTCCAACTGTGAAAATTTCAGTGGGATTTTTAAAGAGCACATAGGATGGAGATCAGGAATTGAAGACCTAGGGAAATCGTTTCCTTTTCAAGAGGGACACGAGTACAAAAAGTGAGATATTGAGCAGACAAATATACCGTGAGGAGTGTTATAATCCAAAGAGAAGGAAATTGTGTGCTTTTGAAATAGGAGACAGTTCCTCTTAGGTTGAGATTTTTGGATGACAGCTGTTGATTCAAAGACAAGACTTTTAACTTGGAGGTTTAAAGCCCTGAGTATGGGAGGTGAAAGCTCTGCACCAGAAACTGCTGTAGTTTTCCTTAGCTGAGTTAAGTGTGTGTAGAGTTAATTACTTCACCCTTCTTACTCAGTATTTCACATAATATGAGGGGAAAAATGTTTAGAAGCTTGGGAATAGTTTTTTTGCTGTTTAATGTAAATTTTTGTTTGCTTATGTGACTGAATAAGGCTACTGTGAATTTTTGTCTGGGGGGGGAAAAAAGATCCCTGGGATATTTTACAACGAAGTTGTCAAAGACTTGGGGAAAAATATGGGAGAGGGAGGAAATAGTAGATTGCTGATGACAGTCATACTTCATAGATTTCATAGATTTCTAGGTTGGAAAAGACCTTAGAGATCATCGAGTCCAACCATCCCTAATCCCCATTAAACCATACCCTCAAGTAGCTCATCCACCCTATTCTTAAACACATCCAGGGATGGGGACTCAACCACCTCCCTGGGCAGGCTATTCCGGTGGCTGACAACCCTTTCAGAGAAGAAATACTTCCTAACATCCAACCTGAATCTGCCCTGACTAAGCTTATGCCCATTTCCTCTTGTTCTATCACCCATCACTAATGTAAAGAGCCCTTCCCCTACCTCCCCCACCATCCCTTCTCAAGTATTTGTAGGCTGATTATTTACTTGCACATAAAATACTTTAAAAATTGAATTCATGACATTCAGGAAACTCTGCATGTTGTTTCTTGTTTCGTTATTGTCTTAAAGGCCTGATTATGCTAAAAACATATGCCACCTGAGAAAAAGATGTGTGTATAAATGTATACACTTACTTTCACAAATAAATAGATATTTGTGAATGTAAGTTTATACTTATATATTGTATGTCTTACATATGCATATAAACACATAGTGGGCATGATATATTTATTCCCCCCAAAATACTTGATCCTAAGAACATGAAGGATCTGGATCTTACAGAGTTTTAGTGCATTTGCAATTTGGTTTCAGTGGCAGATCTCAAAGGAATAAATTAATGCATATATAGAATTGTGTTCAGTGTGTGACCTCATCGTTGAAGGAGTTATTGCATTGTTATTCTGCTTTACAAAAATCTGACTTCCTTGGTTAATTATAAACAGCCTGCTTACCATAGCCACCCAAACCTTGAAATATTTACTGAAGTTTGTAATTCCTCCATTTCCCTTAACAGTTTTTTCTCTTGTTTTCAGTGAATTTACTGGACTCACGCACAGTAATGGGGGATCTAGGATGGATAGCCTACCCAAAAAATGGGGTAAGTCTCTGTTGTTGTTTGTTTTCTCTCCCACAAATTGTACTAACTGTTTCCATTCGGAAAGTAGACTACTGGGTTTAAAAACTCCCTGGAGTCATTTGTCGGCAATGGAGGGAAAAAATAAATAAAACAACAAGCTATGACTGGAAAAACGGAGCTGTGTGGTTAGGGGATTGATTTATTTATGCAGTAAAGCCAGCCACGAGTATTAAAAAAATAAAAAATAAAATAATGAGTCAACCTCCTCACTCCTTCCCTCACCAAAAAAATCCATGAGTTAGTTTATTTTTTTTTTTTTTTTTAAGTTATAAAACTGTTATTTTCTTGAGCCTTTGGGGTAAATGTACAACACAATTTTCTGGAAGTTTTCTTCTGAAACACAGGGTCTGGGACGTCACTGTTAGCTTTAAATGAACAGGGCTGTTCAGAAATACTTTTCAGGCTCATAATAAAATTCTCGGAGCTGATGATGCTGGAACAGGAGCTGAGTTTTAAGCACCTTGAAGAGCCTCTGTCTCTTACCATTGACTACACTGAGAACTGGAAGAACCTGGTCTCCTAATTTGATGGCTGAAATAAGTGCTGGAATTTAGCTGCATTAATACCCTTCAGTGTGTGTGCTTGGCCTGACTGCCTTGTGTGAGCAGTCGTTGCTGGGACTTTTGGTCTTTGGTGTGGCTGGAGCATCTTCAGTGCTGGACTCCAACAGAGCTTCGGTACCGTCTCCAAAGGTTGACTTCTGCACGGTGCTGAGTATTCCTGTCGCTTCCCAGGAGCCGTGGGCACCGTGCGAGGTGAGAAAGCATCCCAAGACAGAATTGCTGCACGACTGCAATTCAGAGGCACTGAACAGAGGCTGTTCAGGAGGGCCAGTTGTGATAGGACAAGGGGTAATGGTTTTAAAATAGAGGGAGGTAGATTCAGATTGGCTATTAGGAAAAAATTTTTTACCATGAGAGTTGTAGAACACTGGAACAGGTTGCCCAGAGAGGTGGTGGATGCTCCATCCCTGGAGACGTTGAAGGCCAGGTTGCACGAGGCCCTGAGCAACCTGATCTAGTTGGAGATATCCCTGTTCCTTGCAGGGGGGTTGGACTAGATGACCTTTGAAGGTCCCTTCCAGCCCTAACCATTCTATGATTCTATGACTGAGCCCTCCAACAGAGCAGCTCTCAGGAACGTGTTATTCCAGAGTTTTAGTCGCCAGCTGAAACGGGCTGCAGAATGGTCTTGGACTCCAGTTCGATTGCCATAAAAACGGTGGCAATGTTTATATAAAATGCAGCCAAGCCTGCACATGTGTATTACCCAGTGAATTAAAATCTGGATTTCCATATACTCTGTGTAGACAAAAGGCTGTAGAAATGGCAGCTGCACTCAGGAGCTGCGTGCTTGCTGGCTCGGGGCACAGCAGGAACGTGAAAGCTACACAGGGAGCTGAGTTTGTCCTCAACTCAGTTCAAGACCTAATCCTGTTGTGGTTGGAGACTGGAACAATCTGTTTTCTTTACTGATTTAAAGCCAAGAACTAAACTTGCTCCCCTTGCATGTGTGGGCATCAGAATAACCAGTGCCAGGTGTGCTGGCAGAGCAATGTGTTGGTGCCATGGCACACCGTAACTATCCCAGTGTCCACTCCTTAATGGAAGATTTTTCCTTTTTGAACACCTCTAGGTATTTTTCCTATGATATAAAGCACAGTTGCTGTATATCCCAATGTCCTTATAGGAATATCTGTAGAGAAATAACTGGACCTGAAAAGTTGAGAAGATTCCTGGGTCTGTATGTGCAGATGAGTAAATGAAAAGTCTAAATATCCTATGAATAAGCCTCAGTTGTTATTTTTTTTCATTTTTTAGAGAAACCTTTCTATATTTACAAGCTTAGTTTCCAAACAGCACCTGGAAGTGCACTTGTGAATGCCAAATTGATGGTTACTGACTCAAAAGGGAGTATTTTTTCCTTAGATTAACTTCCACAAAAAACAAGTGAATAGGGCAGTTGTTTTTTGAATTTCCAGAAATCTCCTTTTCATCTTTCTTTTCATGGGACATCATAAAGAGTAATGGGGTTAGCCCTGTTTTCTCTTCCTTGGCCTAACATATTTGCAGTGTTTTACAAGTACTGAAAAAAGTCTTTCCAGATTACTTCTCTAACCCTCTTATCTGCTCTGCAATCAACTATGCTGCAGTCATACTCTTTGCTTAATTTTTTAGAAAGATCTACCTTGTATAAATATTTTAAGTAACTCTCACCTCAGGATTTGGGTTTGGAAAAGGAGGGAGCTTTAGATCAGAGAAAGCTCTTCTTTTTGAGGTTTTCTCATAGAAATTTGTTATCTCAGGATGTCCTCTTAAGGAAAATTTTGGAAGGTCTGTGTATCTGCCTGCACAGTTCCCCATCAAGAAGAGGAGCAGAAATGTCATATTGTGTCACACCTTGCAGCACTACAGTGTGTAGATACAGACCATGTGCTGAAGTAACCTTTTTGTTGCATGATATTTTGCTACTGCTTTTAACAGTATCCTGTAGAGTCTAGTCACTTTTCATAGAATCACAGAATGGTTTGGGTCGGAAGGGACCTCAAAGATCATCTAGTTCCAACCCCCCTGCCATGGGCAGGGACATCCTCCACTACACCAGGTTGCCCAAAGCCTCATCCAACCTGCCCTTGAACACTTCCAGGGATGGGGCATCTACAACTTCTCTGGGCAACCTGTGCCAGTGCCTCACCACCCTCTGAGTGAAAAATTTCTTCCTTATATCTAATCTAAATCTGCCCTCTTTCAGTTTAAAGCCATTACCCCTTGTCCTATCACTACATGCCCTTGTCAAAAGTCCCTCTCCAGCTTTCCTGTAGGCCCCCTTTAAGTACTGGAAGGCTGCAATAAGATCACCCCGGAGCCTTCTCTTCTCCAGGCTGAACAGCCCCAACTCTCTCAGCCTGTCTCCATAGCAGAGGTGCTCCAGCCCTCGGATCATCTTCGTGGCCTCCTCTGGACTCGTTCCAGGAGCTCCATGTCCTCCTTGTGCTGAGGACTCCAGAGCTGAACACAGTATTCCAGGTGGGGTCTCAGGAGAGCAGAGCAGAGGGGCAGAATCCCCTCCCTCACCCTGCTGCCCACGCTGCTTTGGATGCAGCCCAGGACACGGTTGGCTTTCTGGGCTGCCAGCGCACATTGCCGGCTCATGGTGAGCTTCTGAAGTACTTTTTCAAGTACTTGGTAGCAATTCCAACGGTGATATAGTTCTAACTGAAGATACACTAGCTTTTGAAGCAGCCTTCAACTCTTCTAGTGTTGCTGCTTATCCACTTATTATGAATCTTAAGGAAACTTAGTATTTTTCCTAGAACCACATCTGCTAGAAGTAGGAGACTGCACCAGGAGCGCAGCTGCTGTTAAAGAAAGCAACTGTTTAGTCTTTGTAGTTGTATGAGGGTGCTTGGGAAGAGTTATCTGTGTATCACAAAGGCTCAAGCAGGTGAGTTTTGAAACCAGATTTCCATGTTTATTTAAAACAAACAAAAACCCCCAAACTACCAAAAACCAACCCCACCACCAACAACAACAAAGAAACCCCCACCAAAACAATGAGGGTAAGAGGTCCAGTCAAGACAAATGATCTTCCTTTTGGCAGATACTTTGTAGGTGTCACAGTCTGAATATTTATTATAGTTATGTGCCATGGTAATTTTTGTGTATTAAAGCTTTAAGGTGTTCCATGCTCCAGGGAGGTCCAGCTGCCCTCGTTTAACCTGTTGCTCACCTCATTTTTGCTGAACGCAATGGGAAAATGTGATCTAACTTGGGAAATGAAAGCAGCGGTGCACGGGAAGGAGACTGACCTTCCAGTCTGGAGACAGGTCTACCTCTAAGCTTAAGCTGTTTCTTGGCTGTAATTCCAATTCCCCACAAGATCAGACCTTGATCTGCTGCTAAACAGTGTGCACCAGCTCATCTAGTGAATAATGAGTTTTAAAGGAAAGGAAAGGATCCTTTCCAAGGATTTCCTTTAGCCAAGGATTGCCTCTGCAGAACTTTGTCTAGCTAGGTGCTTACTTGGTACAAGTTTTGGTAGTGTCTAGTATTCTTGCAGCCTGGCTGGCCTTCATTTCCCCCATCCCACACAGAAGGTAAGAAAAATCTTTCCATCATATGGAGTATTGAGGTACTAATGGAAATGAGATAATGGGACTGAAATGTGGCTAAGCAGGAGTTGGAACAATGTCTCCTGGTATGAAGAACGGGCTGTTTTGCAGGAGAAGGTGCTTTCTTCTTTCTGCTGCTTTGCTCTGAAAGATGAATGAATCGTGGTAGCGTGGCTTCCTGGCTGCCCCCGGAGGCCTTCCTTGGCTGTGCGGGGTCAGCAGCTTTCAGCAGCTTGCAGCAGTCGTGCAGTTGGCTCTTAAACCTGCAGTTGCATCTTTAGAGTGTGAGCAAAGTCTTTGTGAGGTCCACGTGGCCATGGAGCTCAGAAAAGGGACTCTCTTCCTGCCATCGAAGCGTGGTCAGCATGGAAGTGCTGCCCCTTTCACAGCTCAGGTCAGGAACTGATCTTGTTACTACATGCCAAAGGGGCAATTTGGACTTTGCTTTGCAGCTCATGTAAGTTGGCTTTAACCTGAAGGAGGTTATTGGAATTACCAGAGGCTATATCAGAAAAGTCTGGTCCCTCTTGAGTAGTAGGAAGCCTTCCAAGCACATCAACGAAACCAGTCAGGTTTTTGGTTGGTTTTTTTTTTTTTTTGACTCCCTGCAGAGCCATAGGAGGGGGAGAAGCTACAAAGAGCCCCTTGTAAATCTGTGCTGTTCAGTCTTGCTTGGTCTAGCCAGTGAAAACACGGCCACTTTTAACAATATTCCGATAACTGCTAAAGTTGCTGATTAAAAATAAATGCTTTCTTTTAGCTGGCTTGATTTATTCAGCGATTATGTCTGATTTTTGTTTCAGTGGCTATAATAGCACTGATTTATTTGTTTCAGACCCTCCCTCCTTGC